GAAAAGGAAGATGTATAAATGTGTCTTTCCTGCTGTTTTTGTGATTTACATTGTTCAATTCTCTGCTTATACTCACACTCTCCAGGACTGAGGTAAACTATCCACTACCAAGCTTGCTGGTTTTCGGAGGTGTTCAACAGACATAACCTGACTTTTCTGCAAGTCATCTTGGCAAATTGGCATTTGATCTGTATCATTCAAGAAGAACAAAACCACACCAATGTTAATATTTAAATTTTACAGGTTTAAAATGCCTCCTTAGAGGAGGCTCCTTAGACCTGAACAAAGTGTTTCTCTTTGGTTACAGTGGATCAGCGTACCCTTTGCAATGTCCCACCCCGCAGTGACAGACATTGGGCTCACGGCTGTGCACCACGTGCACCAAGCACCTTGGCTTGGATCTATCAACTCACTTGACATTTACACATGGCTCGACAATTTCCTTTTACTGGTACGTAATGGTTTGTATGAAGGAACAAAGCATTTAAGCACTGACACTGTGTTACTCTGACAGCTGAAAAATAATAGTCCACTTAAGAGTTTCCAGCAAACTGAAAACTTTTACCCTCTTGACTCCTGCTCAATATTTCTGCACATTTGAATGATTTCAGTGAAATACCAGTAGAATATTGTAGCACAGCTGTCAAAGTCACCATTGCCAAGAATGCATTTTAAATATCGTCAGGCTGAAAGAGTTGACTTATACTAAAATTAATTAAAAGTATGCAGCTAACACTTAACTGATGTCATTGTTGGCAGAGGAATTTATATATTGCAGAAGGCAATAAATACATTATACAGATGATTAAATATGCCTTAGGTATAGGTGATGTAGACAAAGCTTTGCAGAGATGGGAAGATGGATGAATTCAAATGTGCACACATGCAAGAATGAACTGAGGGCTTTCGTTATTTAATACCTATGTATTACACATGGGATCGGTGGTTATTAAGTATGATCCATTAGCAGATCTAGCAACACACAGTAACATTTTTCATTCTCAGTGTTCCTGAGCAATCCTACACTGGTTTTATTATCATGTTGTACTTTGGGAATCCTTTCTCTGAGTTGGGTTTTTTGGTGGGTTTTGGTTTTGGGTTTTTTTTTAAATACTCTCAACCAAAAATCTTCAGTTTTCTGATAAGTGGGCTATTCAAAATTTTTTTTCCCCACTCAAATTTTTTAGAGATTTTCAGAGAGCCAAAGTATGACATTAGCTCAAGCAGCTATATTATGTCTGGTAAGCCTGAAGGTTGAATCTCTGCTGATGACTAAAGGAAAGCTCTGATGTTGCCAAATTGTGACACATTTTCTTTTCATCATGTTTGTTTCATTATAGCTCAAGAAATTTTCACATTTGGAAAGCTTTGTTAAAGGAACATTATTATAGCTGCAAAGAAAAACAGTCATAAATAGCAAGCAAAATCAGGATTGTCTGTGAAACATTCATTTGGTCCCTGTGTGTGCATGAAAAATAAATGAAACACCTGCATACACACTATTTGGTCCAAATGCCTCCTGCCTCATTTAGCATGAAGAACTGTGCCGTGCACATTTAGTGAGCAATTTTCTTTCTTTTCCATGCTGTTCAGTAATAGGCACTTATTTACTTAGTGGACAGTATTTAAAACCTGCTCTCAATACAGAATTGTTAGCACTTGGTTTTCGAAGCTTTGATAAAACTCTATTGTGTCATATTTTGCAGACATAATTTTAAGTAATATGAAGTAATATATACCCAATAAAAGGAGAAGGGTTGCTATCATAAAAGAAAACTTTCTTTTACTGCTTCATCTTTAATTTCTATTGGTATATTTGCTTAAGATGGTGGAACAGTATTTTTCAGATTCTTGAGTTCAATGCACACAGAATGTGCCTAGATGGCCACACACACTCATAAAGGAAGATAAAATATTGCTTTCAAATCCTATTAGAGTCTAATCTCATTTTGGCAGTGACAGGGTACCGGATGCCAAATTATTCACATATGAAATATGACAGTTTTATTTTATAACCTTTCATAAGGCTCTATCAAGTACTTATACAGTTTAAAATACTTGGGGATTACAGAGACTATGTAAGTGCAAAGTGTTGTTGCTAATTGTACAAAGGAATAGCTTTTCTAAAATAATGGGATTGAAGTGGACTTAAGAAGGTTTGACATTACTTGTGAGAACAAAAATTACAGCTATTACTGACTAACTGATAATAAATGAAGAGTGGCAACAGGTCATTCAGCATTCAAGTAATACTTCTACATTTTATGTGGCAATATAAAACAAATCCAGAGTTAACCCCCAGTGATGCGATGCTGCCTATTCTATTTGCAGACCTTAGGAGGAATCCCATGGCAAGCTTATTTCCAGCGAGTTCTCTCTTCGTCTTCTGCCACATATGCTCAAGTTTTATCATTTCTGGCTGCTTTTGGCTGTATTGTGATGGCTCTTCCTGCAATACTCATTGGTGCAATTGGAGCATCTACAGGTAAATGATTAAATATGAACAGTAGAATAAGTGTAAAAATAATAGTACAATAAATGTGTTAAAATCCCACAAAGCTTATGTTAGATGTAATCTAGCCAGATGTAATCAACTCAAGACTACTTCAACAGGAGTGAAAAAAAACGTTATAGAACATTTCTCCCAGGAAGAATTGCTCCTGCCCCACTGGTTGAGATTAACTCATTTTGCACACTATGTACTCAAAAATGTAATATTTATATTTACTGCCTGAGTTAGATTCTGGTACTTATACTTTTGTAGATGTGGTGTTTAGGGTCATGGTTTAGTGGAATTTGGCAGTGTTAGGTTAACAGTTGGACTTTATGATCTTAAAGGTCTTTTCCACCATAATGATTCTAAATGACTGTTTGATTTAGCAGGAATTTCTTATCCTGACCAAAACATTCTTGTCAAGATCTTTGACACAGGGGGGTGATGTCTATCAATGTGACCATGTAGCTAAACTGTTAGAAATGTTCCACACATACCTTTTGAGTTCCAACTCTGTAATCCAAGAGAATAGTTTAACACATCATGTACAAACATGGATGCCAGACTTGTTTTATTGATGAAAATAACATTTATGAACAATGCAAACATTAAACTTCCTACTGGATAACCAGAGGCTGTGGTCAGACTTAGCTTAGAGGTAAGGAAAAATGCTGAGCAGAATGAAATCTGCCTTACAGAAACCAGTGAGACACTGCCTCTCTGAAATGTTGTCAGTCTGATCCTAGTAACAGTTTGGTCATTGAATGTGAATGAAAATACGGCAATATGAATATCACACTACATATGAAATCAAGAGATGCTCTAGCTGGTGACTACTGATGTGACTAATAAAATACCGGTGTCCATATTGCAGCCTGGAATGAGACTGAGTATGGTGTCCCTGATCCCATGACTAAAAAAGAAGCAGATATGATTTTACCGATCGTGCTCCAGTACCTTTGCCCAGTCTATATCTCATTCTTCGGCCTCGGCGCAGTATCTGCTGCTGTGATGTCATCAGCTGACTCTTCAATTTTATCAGCAAGTTCTATGTTTGCTCGAAACATTTACCAGCTTTCCTTTCGGCAAAACGTGAGATTACATTTTTGTTTTTACTTTTAGAGAAAATTTTAGGTGAGACCTTAACTAGGTGATACATAGAACGCAATTTCAGAAAGAAGCACTCATTTCACATTCCTGCCTATGACTAGAAAAAGTATAACATTTCATTCCTAATAGTCTATTGAATATACTAAAAGTCATAAAAATATCTACGGTTGTGACTGATGGCAGAGGTGAAAAAGCTAGCTCAGGGAAGGCAGCTTTCAAGAGTTCTTACAGCACCAAAGTTTATCCAAACAACTTCTAATTATTGCCACAACCATAATTTTTACTTAAATCCTTAGCAAAATGAGACATCTTTCTGAATAACTGAGTTATTAGGAAATCATTTGACAACAAAATGGGCTAGTGAGTTGGACTTTTTCTTAGGAAATGGAGAAGAAATTCTGATGTGGATTTTATACATGAGCCATATTGTGCTTACATTTTAAAGTTATTTCTAACAATATGCTGTTGGGTTTTTTTTCTTTGATGTGTTATCAAATATTTCCTTATGTTCAAAGATTAATGATTTTGATAATAGCAACCACAACCCTTGTGTTTTTTCTATTTTGCACTTTAGATGGAGATAGAGACAGAGATTCATTTGTAAATGTTATTGAATGTCATGTAAAATTTCCTTTCACAATGAAGTATCTACATTGACTATGCATACAAATATAGGCATACATACATTGCAGTGAAAAAACACCTAATACTGTGCCTTTTTTGCAGGCTTCAGACAGGGAACTCGTGTGGGTCATGAGAATCACCGTTTTCCTTTTTGGAGCATCAGCAACAGCAATGGCACTGCTAGCTTCATCCGTTTATGGCCTGTGGTACCTCAGCTCTGACCTTGTCTATATCATCATATTCCCCCAGCTCCTGTGTGTGTTGTTTATTAAAGGAACCAATACCTATGGTGCCATTGCGGGATACTTATTTGGCCTTGTCCTCAGAATAACTGGAGGAGAACCATACCTCTACCTTCAGCCCTTGATCTACTACCCTGGCTGCTATCCAGATGAAAATAATATCTATATCCAGCGATTCCCATTCAAAACGCTTGCTATGCTTACCTCCTTCTTTACTAACATTATAGTGTCCTATTTAGCCAAATACTTATTTGAGAGCGGGACTTTGCCACCAAAGCTGGACTTCCTTGATGCTGTTGTTGCCAGGTACAGTAGAGAACACATGGACAAAGCAACTCTTGTAAAAAGTGACAATATTGTATTAAACGAACTTGCACCTGTGAATCCACGACACAGTCTAACTTTGAGCTCAACTTTCACAAACAAGGAAGCCTTCAATTATGTTGACTCAAGTCCAGAGCTGTCCAACGCTGAAGACAATTAACAAATCTGGTAGCCACAGGCAAAATAACACAAAGCAGGATATTCTACAAAGAATAGTAAGAGGCATTTTATCAGAAGAAAAGCAAAAACTGGGAATAAAATGCCGCTGCACAATTCTTTAAGTTGTTTCTAGGAGCAAGACCATCCCATGGGAGGAACCTTTTTCTGCTATTTAACATGTTGAATTAGATCACAGAGTGTACACCAAAAGATATACTCAGACCCCATTCTTTCCACCCAGAATTATTTACTGTGTAATTAAAGAAAAAAGTATATTTACAATTGAAAACATATGTAGCAGAAAAAGTGCAACAGTTATATAGCTAGGACATAGTACGAAGAGATTATAATACAGACACTGCAATACTATCAGTCACAATATTTTATTGGCATTAAGTAAAAATATATTGTCACAGTTGTAAGTGATTTATTACTAAAGAGTTAGCTGCTGGAACAAAGACAGATAGATAACCTCCCTGGGGGTTTGGTCTGGTTATTTTTTTCCTTATAAAGAAGTTCAAATAATACAAATCTAATATTTAATTGTTTGTCTAAGACAGCAAAATGTGCAAATAGTAATAAATTCCTTATAGGAGTGCTAAACATCATATATTAATTAAAAAAATTAAAGTGAAGTCACCAGTTTATATTATACTTAATGCAAGGCAACCTTAAGCAAGGTACGTTACTGTAGGTGTTCTTTTTTCCCTGCGGTTAGTAGATGTCAGCAATGGAGGATAACAAGATTTTGAAAGCAATAATGAGAATTGAAACTCTGTGAAAAAATGACAGAACTCTTATAAACTAAATAGAACTTTTCAATGTTGAGAAAAGAAGCCTTATGTTGACTTATCAAAAAGAACACTGAGCAAAACAGTCTGACACCAAGCAACTTCAGCAACGGAACAAATATTGAGAAGCGAGGAGATCCAAGAAGGCTTGAAAATGAGAGTAAGAGGGTTTTCCATGGGGAAAATTCCTGGGTTTAATTTAAAAAAAAAAAAAGTAGTATTCTTAAAGACATTAAAAAGCCTTTTGGGTTGGTCGTGCTGAGATTGCTCTGGAAAGTGTAGATTTTCCATGGAAAATCACATTTCCTCAAAAATTTGATTTCCCATGGGAAAAACAGGCTTGCTTGGACACCTTTCCATGTCTGTAAGTGTCCATCTCTGAAAGCAGCAGCAGGTTGGAGGGGAACTGAAAGGAAAGATGAACCCACAAGCATAGTGAAAGGCACAGTGGTGTCTTCCACTAAATGCTGGATTCCTTCATTTACAGTCGTCTACCTGGGCTGTCACAGTGACTCTGAGGAGCACCATCAGCAGCCAGGCACAGATGAGACTTTACTCACGAATGGCATTGCAGGCCAGAAGCAGCAAAGCACGGAGGTGAAACCTCTTCCAGCTTTGACCTGGCCAGCAGGGAACACGCAATGTTGTTTCCATTTGCCCAAGGCCGAGATGATTGTGTCTGTCCCCATTGGTATGTGCCTTTCACAGAGGGAGATCTAATAGCTAGATTTCTGAACAATTAAGAGTTATGCCCCAATAATTCTTTTTAATATCTACGCATGACACAAAATGTTCAATTGAAATCCAGATATCTTCCTGTTGCTGATCACTGGTGAAATTTTTTCTTTAACCACAGCATGAGGAACTATACTAGAGGATAGGAGATATAAGAATAGGTTTTGCTGCTAAAGGAAGAAGCCATCAACTTGTACATTCAATGTTAACATAAGCATCCACAAGGTTGAATCCTTAGGTATGTTTTTGCTCCTTTTGTGGAGTTTTAACAGCATATATATATTTTATACATAGAGAAAATTAATTTTAGAGATGTTGATTTTTTTTCTCCATATACTGCATTTAAAAATAACAGTGCATCTCAGTTCTGAATATGCATTGTGAACAGAATCGTACTACTGTGCTAACAAACACCGAGTGTGCTCTGAGTGGAGGGAATCAAAATCAGGATCTGCACTAAACCCCAGAAAAGATAATAGAGCTAAAAAAGAAAAAAATCCCGCTGGGTGACTGAACAAGCCACTGATGAAATTCAGGGTGCTGAGGATCCCACAAACTGGATGCAAGCCCAGCACTACTCATTGCCCTATGAACTATGGAAAAGAGAAGAGGAAAGAGATTATACAGAAGAAAGGGAGAGGAAAACAGAGACACTGTCGAATTATCATCCATTTCTGGCCGAAATCCACTAGCCTGAATCCCTTCTTATGAGAAAATATAAAGCCATGGTTTTGCCTGCTTACATAGCCCATGCTTTATGCTGCAGTTCCAGATTGTTAGAGCATCCCATTTTACAGCCACCTGTAGGTCTTCCTAAAAAATTTTCTCTTACCTCAGTTTTGTCTAGGAATTCCTAGATTTTCACTAAGAGATGCTGCATAGTGGCCATATGCCTCGAATATAGCAGCATTTCAGTATTATTTATTGCAAAATGTCCGTTAGTGGGAGGAGAAGGAAAGGAGAAGGGGATTCAGCTGGAATTGTTTAAGAAAATTCGATTGAAAAATAAAAAAAATTCCTTTTATTTTTTGTTCCCTTGTTGCCATAAAAACATAAAGGCTTTCCAAATTCTCAAAATAAACAAGTTAAAAATGGATTAGTCCAAAAATTTCAAGCCAGATGCTTTCAACATTATCAGAGTATTTGATACTGTTTATCCTAACAAATATTTCTGTGAAATTCCTGTGATTTTAGAAACTGTTCCTATTTACATGGATCTATGTATTCTCTGGCTTAACATGGTTCCAACAAAGTTTTACAACCCTGCCTGAGAAGACGGAAAGGTTATAGCACTTTTACACGTAGCACACCATGGAAGCTTTATCATGCAAAGGAGAGGAATGACACTGAGTACTGTTCATTGTGTGACCATAACTCTGCTTTCCACATACCACTTCTTTGTGTGTGTCTTTGTGTGATTCCAACAACACCTGCCGTGGCTGAGTAGTGAACAGGATGACTCCAAAAGCCAAACCGAACAGCCCTGTGCAAAATCTATTTAGAATTGCCTTAGTTCAGCTATCTGTCCATTAAATTTATACAAAGCTGTTCATATAAATAAAGGCCATATTTATGATTGATGGCTGGGGGAAAAAAAAAAAGGGAAAAAAAAAGGCACACAAGTAAAAATGCCGAGAGGACATAATTCTTCAAATAGACTTTATTTTCATGGGAATCATCAGATCGTCCTTCTCCACATCTGCAACTTGTAGACAGTAGTACTGTGCCATAAATTGGATCTATAATCAGTGAAGCAAACAGCTTATTTTCAGACACTGAGGTTATTGTTTCTGAGCCTACAATTTCTAGATAAAATATTCATGTCATGATCTTAGATTTTACTTTCATATTTTTAACATTTGTGAATAGCACTTATTTGACAGGGTTTTTTAACTCCTTTGCATGAGATGTGTTCATAAAATCAAGCTTAATAACTAGCTGAGATGTCAAAAAAAATTATTATTTCATTATATTTGTCCAAAAGGGATGCTATATGTATTATAAATAAAACATACTTTTGTGAACCTGAAATGAATGTAAACATTAAGTGGATCAAATGAAGTAAAAGTCATATTTAGTCTTTTATTTTCATATAGTACAACAATTTAGAATTTCAAATGTAAGTATCATAGGGAAAAACCTGTTATTCATTTTTCCTTCTGCCCTTCAAGTGTATTTGATCAAATTCCATGTGCAGTTAGACAGTAATTTATTGTAAGCCTACTATTAATCAGGGCAGTATTTGTGGCTGTTGTTAAAAAAAAAAAGGTATATTTTTGTCTGTGTCAGAAATGTTATATTAAGATTATACCTAACAAAACAGATAGGAAACATAATATAGATATATATGGTTTAACTTCATTTGTATTGTATTCAATAGTGCCCATCCAATTCAGGAAAAAAAAAATCTGTCTGGTTTTGGGTCTGTTTCGTCCATCTATTAAAAATAAAAATGTTTATTTTATTATCACTCAGCATCACCTGAAGTTTTGTGTCGCAGGCATAGCCCCACGGAGATGAGGTGGCCCCAGCAGAGCAGGAGCTGGCCCTCACCCAGGGGATCAGTGGGGCCACCATGGCTACAGTCCTGCCCCAAAACCTGACTCCTGTCTTGGAAACAGAACTCCCATTTCAGTCATCTCCTTCTTGACCTCACAGCCACAAAGAAGAGCAGAGGACCCAGAGCTCCAGGGTAATATACATCCAGTGGGACTCCCTCCTGCAGACCCCTTGCCAGGGACCTTTCTCATGAGGGTGTCTTACCAGGACAGGGGCTGTGGTTTGGCCTGCAGAGTTCACAAGGAGCACAAAATGTTCTACTGCAATACATGTTCCTGGAGATTGCAGCTGGTATCTACCTTTCATTTGAGCAGAATGGAGAAAGGGCTTGATAGTTTTTCCATTTGTAGTGGGACATAAAATCATCCTGGGCACTACATGTGTTATAATACAGTTATTTAGAAATCACAGTTTTAGCTGACTGAAAACTGAATCTGTGCTTTTATTCTCCTATTAAGAGTTTGATCTAATGTCCATTGAAGTAAAAGGAAAGATGCAAATGGGTGGGTGTCCAAATGCTACTATAATGACACATCAATGTACAGTGTATTTATCCCTCAGATGCTTTGCAAAAAAATGTGGACAATACTGTCCGCTCGTGTATGGGGAAAATAAGACACACTGGCTTGCTTTCCAGGGCAAGGAGGTGCTCACTCGTGGAGTGAAACACAAGCTGGGATTTTCAAATAATATCAAATAGCGTAGACATTTCCGTAATTTCCTGAGAGACTTGGGTGTCTCTTGGGATTTGGGAGTTTGTTCATAGAATAGTTTGTGTTGGAAGGGACCTTAAAAATTATCTAGTTCCAACCCCCTGTCATGGGCAGGGACACCTTCCATTAGACAAGATTGCTCAAAGCCCTGTCCAGCCTGGCCTTAAACACTGACAGGGATGGGGCAGCCACAGCTTCTCTGA